TTGAACTTTGTACTTTGTAATTTCTTCTTTGTGTTCAATGAACATGTTTAAGTGTTAGTATGATAATGACCCTTTCACAACAGCGTAACGCAATCTGCATTTGGAGCCACTGTATTTGTTCTATTTGATCGTCTTTGTGGATCCAGTGCATGTTGGTTTAGTTGTTAACTGGTCATGTCATCATGAATCTTTTTGATTATTACAAAACTTCTGTTCTGTAATTTCTATTCATCGTTTGGTTGTTGAGGGCACCAACCTTCAAGCAGGGAAGTGTGTGAGAGTGCTGTTTACCCTTCTTGAGTGTATGGGGGCGCTGTTCACCCTTGAGTGTTATTTATATTTTCTTTAAATATTCATATTTCTACCTTTGAGATGTATTGTAAATTCTTTATTTTTATTATTAATTTCTGTAGAGAATATGTAATGTATTATTTCAATGTATTTTGTAATTTTGAGAAAACACTTCTTTTGCCGAGGTCATGTGACATGACAGACTCCATCTTGTAAACTTCTGTTTGCAAACACTTTTCTTTTGCTGTCTGCAATTTCACCCAGTTTCAATCTTTATCAGTCTCTGGAAGTTTGAAAACCATTTCATGTTTTTCTGAGCTCGAGCTGTGTGAATGGCGACCTGAAGCTGAGGAGAGCATTGCATTTCACTCGATTTAGAGTTGTTCTAGTCAGGGTTTTTGTTTTGTTTTTGTTTTATGTTATCTTAACCATAGTATGAACTTGGAATAAAAGAACGCAGTGAATGACATACATGCGTGTCTCTATGTGTGTCTATCTGCATGTTACACAATCCAAGTACAATGGTTCATAAAATAAATTATATTTGAGACTGAAATAATTGCTGTGATTTTGTTTTAACTCCTGTATTGGCACAAGGAGGAAAACAGACCTGCTATAGTGAACTGTTATAAAGTGTTATTTTCCAACATATTGTTAGCTCCATAAGGGTTTTTTTCCATACCCTTTATACATTTCTTGTACGTGTAAATGCATCCCAATGTAGCAATGATGCTAAGCGAATGCAAGACATTATGAGAGTACTGCACAGTAGTGATATTTTATTGTGATTATCTCCACATACATATGTTTTGTTGCTGGGATGAAAAATTGCTCTAGGGACCAGAAGTTGAATAGGATCACATCCCAATAGTGACAAAATTATTCTGTATGACCTGCACCACACTGCCATCTGTAACTCACGTTTTGGTATTATAATTGTATTTACCCCACATGTACAGTAAATCGCCATCATGCCAGCAACACTAAAATTAACATATCCATACTTCAGAGTTTGGATTCTTGCCAGATTTAGAAAAGTGAAATAAGTCACATCGCTTCACAGAAAATTGCACGCCCAGGGAGTTTGCCTTGATACCCTTGTATTTGGCCTTGAAGGTGATTCAAGTTCATACCCTGAATTCATATCTTGTGAATAGTAGTTCCTGTCAACAAACACTGGCATGACAGGAATAAAAAGTTTAGTTCTGCTTTTATTTCTGAAGCACTGGGTATGCATTCTGGTCCATCAGTTCATCAATCTTGTCTTGTAAGATATCCACAATATCAGCCGAAATGAACAGGTGAGTCTCGTCCAGCTCTTGGATAATAAACTTCTTTCCTAAAACGTTGCTTTCATCCAGGTGTAGCAAAAATTGCTTCATTACTGGATCACTGCAACAGAAATTAAAATTATTTTTATTTCTCACTCAGATTCAAAACTGCACTCGCCCCAAAAATTGTCTTCCCATCACATATTCAATATTTTCAACAAGTGCTTATGGAAATGTGCCTTGCAAGAGTGGGTGATTGCATCTCGCCCATCAAACACCACAAATTACACGAACCATTGACACAATAAAACAACAGTTGACAGACTTATAAAATAACCGGTAAATGCATGACCCACTACAACACTTTACGGCTTCCTATTATTTTAATTCAAAACAAGGATGCTTACCATTCAACCAAAACTCCTCGCATAACATTTACCATGATGATTCGTCATCTGTCGTAAGCGAAATCTTATTTGGGTCGTGAGCCACCCGCCGAGGTTAACATTTGACCCATGAGTGTTTGTTCGTAACTTGTGTTCTCCGTCCACTCGGTGTGTCCGATGTTCATATAGCTTTGACAAAATGCAATAAGAATACAATAAATTTCATGACGATATAAAAATATCGTATACATAGATCTAAATGTAAAATCCCAATCCGCAACTTAGTAGGTATCACACAGTAGGTATCACATGACACGGTGAACTTTGCCCTTCCTTCGAACTCTCTGGTGGTGATCTGTGGTGACCTGCGTGCGTATCACAGTGCAGTACAACTTTCCAACATGTCTTTCGCAACGAATGTCTTGTCCAGAGGCCTTGCTACAACTGCATGGAGAATGGCTGCTCTAAATCACATTACTGTTATCGGTGGCGGATCAATGGGATCCGGCATAGCCCAGGTAAGGAGAAAAATGGCGCCCAACAACGTGTACACATTGGATTAGGGGTGGAACGTGTTACTAGTATATGGTATTTACACTCGGTCGTTGGCTGCCCACTAAAACACTGTCATGCATGGATCCTGCTATAGCAGAATAAAGTGGGTGCGCAGCAAATTATTGTACATTGTTTTCAATCAAACAGATGAACAAGACACAAACTAATACCTGCCAATGTCGGGCCGGTAATACACATCTGCCGCTAAATGGGTCATTGCAGTTTCTATCTACCAACCCCCTACAGATGGTTTTCAAGTAAAAAGGCCTATTTTGGTACCTCCTTAGACAATAATCAACCCTAGGATTCTCAAGTAATAACCTGCATTATTTTTAATAATAATAATAACTTGATTGAAATCGTATCTACAATGGGGTATTGATCAATACAGTAAAGGTAATACATGTATATATATAAAATAATGACAGAAAAAAAGAAAAAGTTACAAATATAACTAAAGCCAATAAAATACATAACAGTATACAGATGTTATTTGGGAAAACTTTACCCCTCAGATAAAACAGAAAAAAAATCCCTTGTCTAATATACACATTTATGTCCCATATCAGTATTAAAAATGTCTCTTTGGATTTACATCATCTGTATATTAGTGAGTGGAAAAAAACCTAAAAATTGTCTTTGGTTCAGACTTAGTCCACCAAACATAAGGCCCCCTGGATTTCTGTCATCTATATATATTATCAAATTTGCCAACCAAAGAGATTACACTGTTTGACTTTGTTTGACCTCAAGTTGACCTTTCAGATTTGTTCAAATTGTTATGATATCTTCAATTCTATAATTTAGATGAATATTTTTGTCATTTTTGGTAATAAGTGATATTTTTGACTTCATGTTTAAAAACGCAAGTCTGATTGCTTTGATATTATACATGTACATATAGGTACTACAGGTGGACCTCTCTCAGTTTGTTCATTTCGTGGTGATATATTCAATTCTCTAATTGAAATGTACATTCCTAACAGCGAAGCCATCTTAGCTGAGAGGCTGCTTGTTTAATACATGTAGTATTTATTTATTTATTTATTTATTTGTTGCTACCCTTATAAAGCAGTGGCTCACTGGAGCTGCAAAATTAAAGATACATTTTTTAAAATAAGTACAAGAAATATTGTTATAGATCATGAAAAATAACATATAACAAAATTAATATTAGTACAATAAAAATAACAATACAATCTACTTATTAGTTTAAAAATGGTGTTCTAACATCCATGGCATCAACTAAAAATTCTTTCATAAGTTTGTCTATGGTGTAACATATTTCTTTGTAATAACCTTGAGTGGTATCTCCCAGAAGGAAGCATACTAACTCTTCGTTATTCAGTTGCTGGAAGTTATCAGATAAATTTGTTTCTTTCATCTTCAATAACATTTATTTTATTTCACACATTAAGTTTTCCCTTTTTATTTTAAAACTTAGACATTGCAAAATAAAATGTTCGAGAGTTTCTTCATCTTTTTAACAACATGGACAAATTATGTCATCTTCACTATTATTTTTCCATTTCCTTTTTTCATATGCTAACCCAAGAGTACATGATCTTGCTCTGAATTTTAGCTGTGCTCCTTTAAAGTGGCCCTTTTATTTATTGACTGAAGATATTTCTCACTTTTCAAGCTAGTTTTGAATTTTCTATTATAATTAAAATTAAGGCTTGATTTTAACTTCATATCTTCTCTCCACTTGGATTCATCATGGTTCAGAACCAATGTTTTTAGTTTTTTATCAGTTAAGTTTGTAAACTGTTTTTTGTTTATTTTGACATATTTTATTACATCATCTGTATATCTTAGCCAGTTCCAAAATATGTAACCTCTATGTTATTCAGTTTCTTTGTTTAGCTCATTTAATTTGGTAAAAGTAACTTTTGTCCACCTAGATTCTTTCATTTTATTCAGTCTCCTATAATATTTTAAACTCATTATATCTATATTGTATTCAACCCAAGATCACCAAGAACAGCTTCATTTGCAGTGTTTCGCTGACATTTCAGTATAAATTTTCCAACTGTTCTTTGCAGTTTTTCCAAACTCTCCATATCAGATAAACTAGACGTTACTATTTCACCAGCATATTCTAATGAAGGGCGTATTACATGATTTCATAGTGACAACCCATAATCTACCCTATTAATGTTTCCATGATTTCCAAGGGTTGCTTTCATTACTGGGAATAGTTTGTTGAATTTTTCACTTAGTTTTACACAGTGAGTATGGTCAGACAGGTTTCTGGTGAACCAGTAGCCTAAATATTTGTATTCATTAGATTCTTTAATTTTTAAATCTCCAATATACCATTCCTTATGTTTATTTATTCTTTTATTTACTATCAGGATATTAAATTTTTCCCCATTAATGGACATTTTCCATAGTTTGCAATCTCTAACATAGATTTTAGCTGTTCCTCATTTGGGGCAATAAGGGCCACATCATCAGCGAAGAACAACCCATTAATGAGTATATTATTTATTGTTATGATGAATCATTCAGGATTTTTTTTGAATTCATTTATATAAATTGCAAATAGCATTGGAGCTAGGACACGACCTTGCCTAAGACCCTCCTTCTGGTCAAAGTATTCAGTTTCAACATCTCCAAATGTAATTTTACTCTCAATGTGGTCATAAGTGTGTTTTATTACACGCCATAGTTTTCCCTTTGTCCCATTAGTATAATGTGCTAAGTTTTAAATCTCTGATTTGTCTATTTTAATGATTGTCTTTCATGGTTAATACGTTTTACCCAATCCCACACTTCCTGTCACTTATTGTGGAATCTTCATTTACTTTTCATTAATTAGATTAATAAATGTAATTTCAATCATCTGGCACAGTCGTTTGTGATATTTCAGTTGATAATTTTTGATCGGTTTTCCATTGTAAGAAGTCCAAGATTCATTCTCTGTATGTCTACTTCATAATTAACAGGGACTGTGCTATGCATGGCTTGTTCAATTAGTTTTTTACAGTGAGTATGATCAGAGGCACCTTGTGAACCAAAAATTCCAGATATTCATATTCAGAAGCTTCTTTTATTGATAAGCTGGAGTTCACACTTTTGTTTATGATTAGAACGTCGGAATTATTTTCATTGACTGCCATTTTTTTTTAAATTTACAGAATTTGTTTATTATATTTAGTATCGTATTTAGTTTGGTGCAGTGAGCACCACATAATCTGCAAAAAATAGACCATTTATCATAACGTCTATTCGTATCCAAAGCTGTGCTTGAAATACCAGTGTAGAGAAATTTATTCAAATTCTAAAACTTTGTAGATTATCCAGCATTCTCAAATCTGACTGCAAGTGAATTCAACCATTTATTTGGTCGCTAACAAACCAAACAATGCATAGTTCATGTTGGTGTCAATAACAATTTGAGCTTAATGTTAACTAATTTTTAAATAGTATATATATTAAGTTCTTTGTTCGTTTTTACAGGTGTCAGCCCAGGCAGGTTATAAAGTGACAATGGTTGACCAGAATGATGAAATTCTCAATAAATCTTGTGCTATTATTAATAAGAGTTTACAAAGGGTTGTAAAAAAGAAGTTTGCAGATGACCCAAGTGTAAGTCGTACAAAGTTGAAGTTAATTTGCAAACAATGATTGTCACCTTGATTAAAATAAGAATGCTACTTGTAATATGGATCCGGAAAAAGACAAGATTTAATTTTCCTTTTTTTTCATACTTTATGTACTCAGAAAGGTGAAGCCTATATTAGTGATATCATGTCAAAGATTTCTACAACAACGGACAGTTCCAAAGCAGTGTCTAATACAGACTTAGTCATAGAAGCAATTATAGAAAATATGGGAATCAAGAAGAAGTTGTTTTCAGAGTTGGACAAAGTAGCAAAAGAGTAAGACTTTTACACATTTAGTATGTTTTACAGTATAATCTGAGGAGAACACACTTGGTTGAACTGTATTCACTAAACCTATAAAAAAAAATTGTTAAAATTGAAAGTAAATTCTGTGGGTCTCTCTTGTATGCTTGGCACAACACATACCCAGAATTCTCTATGATTTTTAGAACATGATGCAATACTACATCTATTTATTGCCATTGAAATCTGGTTTTTTCCGGAAGAGTTTTGTTACATGTAGTGTTACATGTTGTATATTTATTTTTCAAAAATATGTTCTGCATTATGCAACATTTGGTGTAAGAAATTATATTGACGCTAAAATTGCTGTCATTTTTTTTGGGGAGAATATAATCAATAACGTGTGTGCCCACTCTCATCAAGACCACAAAAAAATCCATCTGTTTCTACTGGCGACGTTGCGGCACTACTCAGTTCCAAATAAAGATTACCAACGCCAAATGAGCAACATTTCAACCGGTAACCAAGACTCAGTCAATCCACGACCACCAAGCAACATCACAAACGAAGTTGTAATGTGCAGCTCAGAGATGACCGCTGTTGATTAAAGTCACCCCGTCAGTGGAGTACCGCAGTTGCACAGCAATTTTGCCAATGCACAATTCTGTGGTGGAACTTATAATTTCAACATAAACTGTGTATCATAGTCGTCCAGTTCAAGTTCTGGTTCTGTCGTGGTCCCAACTAAATGTCCATGAGTTATTTATTCTGACAGTGACTCACATTAGACGTCTCATTATTTTTTTTTCACACAGACAGTGACACTCGTTCTACACTGACGCGCGTTGCCAGGGAGTAACACTATCTTGGAACATATTAATGGACAATCGGGTTCCCTGTCCTAAATTCCATCTCGGTTTGTTGCATGTCAGGGGTCGAAATACTCAATCTGTATGCTGTTCTGAGGTCACGCGAGACTCAAAGTACTCTCACAATGTACGCGAGTACGCTACCAATTTACTTCCGGGTTCTCGATCGATGCGATCACGGACGAATTTGATTTTTTTCACTTGTGCTTTTGAGTTTTTTTACAATATTGGTTGAAACTAATTTAGGCTTAGTGAATATAATGAGAAAATGTTGTGTTAATTTCTACATGCACAGCGTGCACATTTGATTTTGAGTTTACTTGCACTAGTTAATAATCTATGTGCATAGTGCAGTGTGCACCCGAGTATTTTGAACCCTGAATGTATAATGAATATTTAAAATTTGAACATAATCAGTCAAAGCAAGTCAGAGATATGGCGCTACAACCACATTCATTAAAACAAAATGACCGCCAGTCGGCCACCTTGAATTTTATCTGAAAAACAAAATGACGTGCATCAGTTGTCCTATAATGTCTAACTTATATACCAAGTTTGAACAAAATCCATCTGTAAAGAGCCGAGAAATGCTTAATTTTGATGATTTTCGGTACAAAAATGGCTGCCATTCGGTCCAGGCATTTCTAAGATACAGGTTCGGACGTACGCACGCACGGAAGCACAGACACACGGACGTACAGAGGTCAAAACATAAGTTCCTGTTTTCGGACTGCATCTGAGCGGCGACTAATAATAACAGAACCCCACACCCTCCCAGTGGCTTTCGTTGCGTATGGAAGTTATTTTCACTCGAGATGCGGTGTATTCTGCTCTACTTTCACTCGCGGATGGCCACAGGTTACAACATAAGACTCTTGAAAATAACTTCCATACGCAACGTAAGCCACGGGGAGGGTGTGGTTGTTTGTCATATTATTGTACTTTTATTTAGCTCCGCTGTCGACTTTGTCGAGCGGAGCTTATCATATGAGTGATTGTCCGTCGTCGTCCGTGTCAATGTTTTACTTTTTCGACTTCTTCTTGAAAACTACAAGCCTGAATGCTTTGATACTTGGTGTATATGTACCTTGGGTAGACCTCTCTTAGGTTTGTTCATTTCATGTTGATATCTTCAATTCTCTAATTTTGGTGAATATTTTTGTCATTTTTGGTAAAAAGTGATATTTTCGACTTCTTGTTAAAAACCGCAAGTGCAATTACTTTGATATGACATATATAGGTACTACATGTGGACCTCTCTCAGATTTGTTCATTTTGTAATGATATCTTTAATTCTCTAATTTTGGTGAATATTTTTGTCATTTTTGGTAAAAAGTGATATTTTCGACTTCTTGTTAAAAACCGCAAGTCCAATTGCTTTGATACCACATATATAGGTACTACACGTGGACCTTTCTCAGATTTGTTCATTTTGTGATGATATCTTCAATTCTCTAATTTTGGTGAATATTTTTGTAATTTTTGGTAAAAAGTGATATTTTCGACTTCTTGTTAAAAATCAATAGTTCAATTGCTTTGATATTACATATATAGATACTACATGTAGACCTTTCTCAGATTTGTTCATTTTGTGATGATATCTTCAGTTCTCTAATTTTGGTGAATATTTTTGCCATTTTTGGTAAAAAGTGATATTTTCGACTTCTTGTTGAAAACTGTAAGTCCGATTGCTTTGATATTACATATATAGGTACTACATGTGGAACTCTCTCAGATTTGTTCATTTTGTGATGATATCTTCAATTCTCTAATTAATTTATTTTGGTGAATATTTTTGTAATTTTTGGTAAAAAGTGATATTTTCGACTTCTTGTTAAAAACTGTAAGTCTGATTGCTTTGATACTATTCATATTGTTCATTTTCTAATGATGTCTTCAGTTCTTTAATTGAAATGTGCATTGCTAACAGCGGAGCTATCTCAGCCGATACGCTGCTTGTTTACCTTTCCGCCTGGTCAGTGAAAAAACAAAGGAAATAATCACAGAATCATGCCCAAGCATACAATGCACTCAGACGTAAATTCTGGTATTTTGTGAATAACCTCATAATTTATGTTGTATATTTTTTTACAGGAGTACAATCTTTGCCAGTAACACGTCTTCCTTATCAATCTCAGAGATGGCCAAAGTCACAAAAAGACCAGAGAAATTTGGTGGTTTGCATTTCTTCAATCCGGTACCCATGATGAAACTTGTTGAGGTAAGAGATGTCCATATTTACAAGTAGTTTATTAGACTACTGAACATTGTTGTATGATTAATGGAAAGTTGAACAGGGTGAAACTGCAGTGGATCACCAGTAGCATGGTTGGTAAAGTACAACTGTAGCCAAAGCTTTGGCTTTTTAGCTCCGCTGTCGACTTTGTCAACAACACAGAGCTCTTCATATTACTGATTGTCCGGCGTAGTCTGTAGTATGTCGTCAACTTTTCACATTTTTGTCTTCTTTTTCAAAACAGTTAAACCAAATGCTTTCATATTTGCAACATAGATTCTTGGGGTAGTCCTCAGATTTGTTCATTTCATGATGATATCTTCAATTCTCTAAATGAAATGTGTATTGATAACAGTGGTTCTATCTCAGTCGAGAGACTGCTTGTTTTCACTACAGCATCGCTTCAGCTTCTTATTACCTTTGCATCATTTTTCAAAGTATATGTAAATAATTTAATTATCTGTTTCAAATCTGGGATTAATTGTGTCATCAATGACACAACAAATCTAGTATTCATCAAGAATTTTCACTTTATTTCATGCAAGCCTGCATGTATTGCTCACGTTCACATAGATTTATATTCATGAATTTTTGGATTTGAGGAGCAATTAGTCTTAGCTCGATTTGCCTGGAATGGAGTATCTTATTTTCAGCAATATTCTGACTTAAGTGTAAAAAGAAAAAAAAATATAATTGCTTGCAAGTGATTCGATGTGATGTGATGCCTGGGTTTCTTTTCTGTACTGTTGATGTACACACATAACATAGACTGAGTGAAATGAAACAATGTGAGATAAAATAACTCTAATGAATCTAATATTACAACATTTGTTATTTGTGTGTGGGAGGTACGACAGCATACACTTAGCAAAATGAAATATCCAGGCTGCCAGCTGCAATTTAGCTTCAAGTTGATTGATAATAATTATAAGTGTTTTATAGTTTTGCAATGTCAATAAGCATCTTGACCATTATTGAACTTTTCATTTCTTTCCTTAAGATGTAAAAATGAATATTCCAATACATTCAAGCAAATGTATGAGAAATACAAATGAGAAAGTTCAAGCATTTAATGCATTTTCAACATTCAAAAAAAAAACAGTAATTGCAGTCATGCGGACATAAAAATAAATAATGGCAACGATTAATTGAAGCTTACAATGTTGAATCGTACATGTTTTATATTATAGACTCTTCAAGTTTCATTGCAGGTTATCTTGCATGAATATTTTTTTAGTTAAGATTGAAAATATGACACAAATTTAGTTTCTTATGATTATAATACATCAACCTTTTCACCACCAGACTTCCTCCGCCAAATTTTTCAGCATTTTTTTCTTATATTCTTCAATATTTTTGGAAATGAACTCTAATTTTGGAGCCAACAGACACAAAAAATTTGGCTTCTTTTATATCAATCTTCTGAAGGAAAGTGCAGACTATAAACAGGACTATTTTGTGAATTTGTGATGAAAAGAGAGAACTGGTAGTGAAAAGCTTAAACTAAACAATCATCTACTGATATTGCAGGTTGTACGCACGTCTAATACAAATGATAACACATTTGATACCTTGTTTGATTACTGTAAGAAGTTGGGTAAAGTACCAGTCAATTGTAAGGTGAGTGTAATGGTGTCATATAATAATGTCATATAATAATGTCATCAGTAATAGTTGTTTGAAATTCTAATGGATATGCTACCACTTTTCCATACAGAGAATATTAAATTGTGGGTACTTTATTGGGTGTGTGATACATATTATTAAAAGTTTTCATAACAAAATGCACTAATTTGTATACCTCTGTGCATGGTACAAACAAGTTTTTAAATTTCATAAAACTGGTTTCACAATAGTGATGCACAAACAGGAAAATCTCTTTGACCATATGATTTAAGTAAATTTACTACATTGAAGACCCAATCTTAACTTAATGGCTGAGCAAAGTTCTTGAAATATTCAAGTTGAATATTGTGGAGCAGTACCTTTGATGATTTTAAATGTGACCAACAAAATCTTGAAATGAATAAAACCTCCAGCTTCAGCTTCAGCCAGTCGGTAAATACTGGTGTGGTGTGATCGAATTGGTGTGAATGGCTGATTGAACGCACTGGAATTTTGGACAAGCTTCAAGCAGGTGGATTGTTATTTGGTGACGAAGAATGTTTAATTAACCATATCACTGCATAAGAAAACTGACCTAATAAATATGCATTTTTTGTAGGACACGCCTGGGTTCATTGTGAATCGTTTGTTGGTACCTTACATGATGGAAGCCGTAAGGATGGTGGAGCGAGGTAGGAAATTGGATATAGATATTTGTACCAGGACTACATGAAAATAATCCTCTCTTTTTTGAAATAATTTTTTGCAAGGGATAGGGTGGTTGTATTTCAAGCTGTTTCATTAAATATGATAAGAGAATAACCAAGCATTATATATGTGTTAGTGGAAGATTAATTTAGTGAAAAGCAACTGGTTTTGAAATAGCGGACTGATACATTTAGAGTGAGTAGTCAGCTTGGTCAACATTTCTGTTTTCAGGACTTTGAACAACTGATGTCATTTTTTATTTGATTTTAAAGTAGAAGAGTTGTCACCTGCGTATACATCAGACCTTCACGTTTTTAGCGTGTTATCGTTGTCTAGGTCTCACTTCCTGCCTGTGCTGACTACCCCCTTGTTTTTAGATAGCAACAGGGAAAAAACAATTGAACAAAATTTATTTGTGATTAAGACTACTTATGTCATCTGAAAGATTAAATACAATACAGAATACCATATTCATGCAATACTAAACTAGTCAATTTCCTAAGCCATCAAATATAAAGGTGGTTTTCTGCTTGGCAATGTTTCTGGCTGCACATTCATTCTGGATTGTCGTTTTTTTTGTGATCTTTTAGTAGCATGCTTAGTGATTTTTAGATCAATTTTTGACTATTATATATTTTTCCCCTGTTGCAATTTTAAAAACTAGACAAACCATTCTTAATAAGAGCAAGTTAATTTATCCTGAACTCTATAAATAGGTGTAGGGGCAGTACGTTTGTTCATGTGAAGAGAATATCCCCAAACAAAAAGGAGGGGGTTCTATTTTGTATATGTTCAATTTCATAATGGATTATTTTGCTTTGCACACATCTACATTCTCCATGCATGTTGTCATAATAATTAACATGCCATAACTCATTCATTGACCCACATGAAGTGATGACATATTTGGTATATCTCGTTCATCATCCCCAAATGCAATAATTAAGACGCCATATTTAGTAAAACTAGTTCATTGACCCATATGTAATAATTAGGACACAGTATGAAGTACTGGTAATGACATATTTGGTATACCTTGATCATTGTACCCATATGCAATAATTAAAACTCAATATTTGGTATAACTCATTTATTTTACCCACCCACAGACATTTTAATTTGCTGCTTTATATGAATACACCATAACCATCCATGTTGCTTCCGCTTTCATTTTCAATGCATTAGGTGATGCTTCCCCAAAAGACATTGACACAGGCATGAAACTCGGAGCTGGCTACCCTATGGGACCAATAGAACTAGCTGACTATGTAGGTCTGGATGTTTGTAAATTTATCTTGGATGGTATGTATACATAGTAGTACCTTCATTTTTTTTCATTGCTTAGGTGATTCAACTCCAGAAGATGTTGATGTAGGTATGAAACTTGGGGCAGGCTACCCAATGGGACCGTTTGAATTAGGGGATTATGTTGGGCTAGATATCACCAAATTTATAATTGACGGTAAGATATTATGACAAAGTATTAAAACTGAAGTTGATTATTTATGTGTTGCAGCTAACGATGGTATGAATGTTTTTTAACGTAAAATATTTTTAAATGTTTTGTAAATTTCAAATGACAATTGCAAACAATTTGACAAATTACAATGCATCAGTCGTGACAAAAACGGAAAAAGTGTATTTTTTGGGTTTGAATGAAGTCTTCCAGGGTAAATGTTACAAATATTTCATAAAATTTGTGCCTTCATGAGAATTACTGTAATTGACAAATAGTGCAGGTTGAAATGCAGCACATTTTACTCTTGCTTTAGTTACAAGTCAGCTGCAGCTCATTTCAAATATGGATATATTACATACCACACGTATCTAACAGGGTGTGGTTGCTACTTTATAACCTCTGTCAACAAAGATGACAGATGGATCACTTGGTATGGGTGATTGCCCATCGTCATCTTGGGTCACTACTTTTAATAAATATTTTTGGTAAAAAATGTTTTAACTTCTTGAAAACTTCTATTCCTATTGCCTTAACACTTGATATATTTGTACCATTGGTGGATCTCTATTAGATTTGAACTATTTGTGACATTTTTCAGTGAAAATGCTATTTTTGACTTCTTCTTGAAAACCGTTACTCAAATTGTTTTGATATTTAGTGTAAGTGTATCTTGGGTGGACCTTTATTAGATTAGTGGACCTCTATTAGATTAGTTCCACTTGTGAAATTATAGGAACAGACTTATCAATTTTTGGTTCTATTAGTGATAAGATCTAAATATGTAATGAGACACTTATAATAGATTGTAAACAAAGTTTATTTAATTTTCCCATTATGATGTTCATAAAACTATGCATGCCCTTATTAGTGCAAGGCTAAAACAGCAGAGCTGTTTCGAATTTGATAGTTTGACAGGGAATGTTATAGAAAAGCAAATTCAGAAATGAATGTTTTATAAATGCCAATATATATATTTTTGAAAACGCTTTTTAATGTTCAGTTCCTCTTCAGAAGCATTCATTTTAAAGGCTTCCATTATATTCCTATTAACATTGTATTATGTAGGACTGCACTGTAATGTTGGGGGTGAGAGAAATATTGATATTACAACATAGTGCTGTTTATGATAAATAACTGCTTATTTTCGTTGCAGGTTGGCATGAAGAATTTCCAGATCATCCACTATTTGTGCCAAGTCCGCTTCTTAATAAATTTGTTGATGAAGGAAAATTAGGCAGAAAGACCGGAGAGGGGTTTTATAAATATTAGACGTGTTGTGAATTTAAGTGCAGAAATTCAGATCACAGGGTAACTTCACTCCAAATGTTAAAGTTGGTTGACTGGTTTTGCAGTGATATACATTCAAATTGATAAATTATATTTTTTCCTGGATCTCAAAAGTAATATCTCACTTGATTGGTTTAACTTGAAGATGAATGGAATGTACTTTCTGATTGGGGGAAATAAATTTTTTTGATTTGAAATTTGGTGACAAGAAAAACACTTGTGTGTTCATTATTTGAAGTCTCAAACAGGGGACTTGTGTTATGGGTTTTGTCGTCCTTTTAAGCATTTGAGAGAGGAGGCTAGGAGTGGCGGTAAGCGTCCAGAATTCTAAAGAGCTTGTATGTGAGATGGGATGTCAATGATGGACAATGGTCATAAGGAAGGCAGGGAGTTCATGAGTAGCAGTAAGCATGTGAGAGGCTGAGAGTTGCTACAACAGATGCAAGGAAGCTGGGGAGATTGTATACGAGTTTAAACGGCTAAGGCATAAAAAAGGCCAGAGGACAACGAGGAGGAGGAAGCTGCGGAGCTTGTTTGAGCGATGGAGTTGCCATGGGCATAAGCAATAGGGAAAAGTCCTCTAGGGACTATTGGTGGGAGGAAAGGTCAGTAAAGGAAAGGCTAGGAGGGGATTGTAAGAGATGTGAAATCACATGAGGACTAGTAAGAGGAGAGAGATGGGGTGGCAGTGAAGAGCTATAAGCAATAGATAGAGTCAGACTGGAGTCGCTCACAAGTGAGGGGGAAATGACAGTATACCTGAGGCAGGTGGCTGGGAAGAACTGAAAGCAAGGGATTTGTTTCGGAGGGGAAAAAACTCTCGGAAGAGGCCATGTGAGGTTGTGAGCAAGGTGAGGGTGTGGTTAGCCAGTGAGAGAAAAGTGGTGAGTGAAAGAGAGAAGCAGGGAAATGCCGTAATGAGCGAAAGCTAGAGGAGCCAGAAAGAAAGTAGAGGTTGAAAAGCTCGCATTCAAGATTGGTTGGCCTGGAGAAGTCTCAAACGAGTTGCAGGCCAAGTATAGCTGTAAGAGAGAGAGAGGTGGTTGGAAGAGCTTGTGGCGAAAGGGGCAAGTCGGTAGAGAAGTCAACTTGGCTGGTAGGGAAAAATGGGTATGGTGGAAGTGGTGATAAACTAGTGAAAGGCCATCGGAGAAGGGGGTTTGTAAGATGGGTCGGATAAAATTACCATAAGCAAGATGGAGATGCTAGAAGCAGCCGTTAGTATCAGGGTGGAAGCATGGGTGATGATTGGGAGAGTCAGGTAGTGGATCATGGGAGGAATTGTGTGAGCATGAGGGAAGATTGTGAGCTTTGATAAACAATTGGAAGAGGCTGTCTGGTGTTGTAAATGAGGGACAGGAGCTGTGAGCAATTGAGAGAGGCTGAAAAAGGTTGTAAATAGAGGAGCTCATAAGCAGGGGGAAGACAAACTGTTGGGAGTAGAGATTGGAAGCAGGGTAGGTAGGCTATGGAAAGTGGTGAGCAAGGGCAAGAGGTCGGAAACGGCCTTATGAAAGAGGGAAGTATTGGGAAGCTTGAAATCGACTGTAGGAATAGGTTGGAGAGCTGTAGGTAAGTCATCAGGAAAAGCTTTGAGGGGAGTAAGTGAGAAGGAAAGGCTGATATGAATAGTAAGTGTGAGGAGGGCTGGAAGGTGCCATAAATGAGCGGGGAAGACTTTATAGGTGGTGTTGGGCCGGGAGATTTACTCTGGAAAGCTTGTATGCGAGATGGAATGGCCGGGAGGGCAATCGTGAACGATCAAAAAAAGACCTGTAGGTGATTGCCGACAGGAACTGGTAAATAAAAAATCATTAAAGGGTTACATAATATCTGTCTGTGATTGTATTTAAAAATGGTAAAACATCCCATCAGTATGCTGGTAAGTAGGGAACATTTATATCTGACCAGTCTCCATGCTTCTTCTGTACTGGTGTAAATAGTTGCATAAAGGAATGTTTGCATCAGGTGTAGTTGATACATGTATATACAACGTATCCAATTATTGGCCATCTTTGATCCAAGAACCACTTGGTTATATCGCAGATGATTTACTAAGCAACACGTTCTTCTACGTTGGATATTTTAATTTAAGTAATTTTACAATTCAGCCCGTGCTAGTGTGAATTTGTAAGTAAATTAGTAGGGCTAATAATGTGGTTGGATTCAGTCGGCCACATTCAAACTTGAGTTAGGATTTCAGCGGAACTTGAACTCTCACGAATCACTTGTTTAACATAAACTGCATTTATTGGTGATCGAACGAAAGTGTAAACTTATGGTAATTACATAAACTTGTAGAATGCAATAAAACATGAACGTTGCATAGTAAACAGATGAATTAACTGACCCACAATTGAGCATGGACTAAAACTAGAACAGAACTACCATTGAACTTTAAAAATGGGAAAAGGAAAATTACGGCGTTTTCCACGCAGACAGAGGTCAACCAATCAGTGACTGCGTACTAAACTAATCATGGAATATCAGCCAGAAAGGAAGGATAGAATGTTTTGGATCGATTTCTATACAAACTGGAGCGGAATAATTATGTATAACATCTATAAGCACATAACTCGGAATCACTCATTTAATTGGAACAAATCACATACATCAATAAACGATAAATAACTGAAATTCGATCTCCTCACTGGCGCAGTCGAGGGATTAATTTGTTTTTGTTACTACCTTATACTAAAATATGTTTGAATATATAGATTACTAACAAAATCTTACTTCGGTTGGAGGTAAAATACACCACGAATATTCACTTTTGAGATATTTTTTTGTATGTGTTGGTTCTTGGATATCTAAGCTTCGTCGTCCTGTACTTCGTTTAGTAATTCAAACTTCCCAGTTTGCGTAAAAACGTACAGTTTCGCGATTTCAACATCGAAAATGCCTTTGCTTCATTATTTCCTGAGGGACGGCCGCTTAAGTATGTGCTCTGTAACTTGCAGCAAATGAACCTAAAAACATTAGGTAATCAAACAAAAATTACGTTGTACTAAAGTCCAAAAAGTACGTTCAAGTTCTGCATTTTTTCGTAGCATAAAAACGATTTACTTCCTTGCTCATTGTGATACTCTCAAATCAACTGATTTCCATTCCCCTCAAGAGTCGAAATGGTATGTGCCTCCATTTTACTCCAAGACTTGAAAAAGTTTTTTTGCTCGATGTGTTCATTTGCCTTTAATTGCGTTTCAGTGGCTGTCACAGTCGTATTCTGAGTCTTGCCGGTAACAGTTTGGTTCAAATTCACGTAGATATCGCCGAGAAAACTCAAATTTTCAACTAAAGCTAATTTGCATAACAATGTTTTGCCCTTGGTCGCCAAATTGGACACCAGCATAAAATTACTAGTATGTCTTAAGTACAGATATGACCTTGGTAGTACTTATTAAGCTTAAGTGTACACATTCAAAGTCATTATATGCAATGACAGGAAGTTGTAATTGAAACCATCTGTTTTAATTGAGCAAGTGATCAGATGCTTGGCAGACTCCAGTGAACTAACATCCTGTAACAGCACTGTAACGTTTTTTTAGAAAGTCCAGGATGAGGGAAGGAACCCGTTTTTGACTGAGCTGCTTTCGTATTTTGACGCCTGATTGATACCTGCAACACGTATTCATTCTATTTTTTTCCAAATTTCATATTTTGAACTTTGTTCCATTTTGAAGTTAGTCATTTGTGAACTAAACGGTTTGCTATTAGCATTCAACAATTTTCAAAATAACTTTTCATCAGTGTTGTGGAGTAAAGCTTTTATTGCCGATCACAATGTCAAAAATAGTTCAGTTTAGACATGGCCATACATGGACACAGTTTTTTATTTACGGGACAAGCTGGAACTGGCAAGACTAAAACTCTGATTGAACTAATCAAGAATTTGAGGAAGACCAAAATAGTTCAAGTTACAGCTAGCACAGGCATGGCTGCAAGTCAGTCATTTTTTATTATCCAAGAAACGTTCCGAGCGCATGTGGTTTGGATCGAACGATTTCTTTTGTTTCCAATTCGTTGTACGCCTAGAAACATGGCAACGTTGTTTTTGGTGAATATATAACATGTTCTGTTCCAATAAAGGATTTTGATAAGCATAACAATTCCTTACTGAAACATTTCCTGTACTCTCTAAAATTTGACAATGCCACTATCCCAAGATGGGCTTCCTGCTCAACACGTTGTTGAATGTTCGCGTCACTGTACGTAAAAATACACTCTCGAACTTGACAATCTTAAAGTTCAGACCATTGAGCAAATAGATGGAAATGCCGGTCACATAAATCATGAAGATTGATGATTCGATTGCTGGCTGGGATAGCTGCATTTAGTGTTCTTTTCTATGCAATATAAAATCATATCAATGCTGTGGGCGGCGAAGGGTGACAGATTGTTTTGGTTCAAAAAGTTGATAAGGAAGTACTAGTAAACAGTCCGGGACATAGTCAATACAAGCCGTAGGCTGGTTGACAATCTGCTCCGCTCAAAAAACAAGCAACATGTTTTTGGCTGTTTCCATGGTAGGACATGAACGTGAAGCTAACGTCAGTTTATATCTAAATGGGCCCTGTATACGAAGTTCGAAAGATAGAAGATAGTATTTTCTAGAATGAAGGCAGCATTTACAGTTCATTTAAAGCTCAAAGTTGCATTGGAATTACATTGATACAGTGTAACAACGTCGGCGTCTGTGATCTCTTACCAGTACGCAACGTAGCCAAAATAAAAAGCATGATCATCTGAGCCAAAATAAAAAGCATGATCATCTGAACACTGCTATTACAAAACTGGTAGGAGGTAATACATTTGGGGCGAAAGTATTCAAAAATCAGTTTTTGGCTGTTGCAATGGCAGTGATGCGCCAGGATTTTTTTCAATTAGTGACAGTATGACCTACCTAACAAAATCAGCCGAGCCAAAAAAAATCTCAGAGGAGTTAAAAGCCGTTGCTGGTGAAAAGTTACCCCAACTTTGGGGTCAAATTTCTCGGTAATGAAAAAAGATATCAAAAACTCAAATAGTAACTTTGTGCCCACACTCAAGCTGAGTAGAATGAGCTATGTCTGAGGTATTTTATCCCAACTTTTGTAGGAGGAGATACATTTGTTGCGAAGCTATCCAAAAAAAACAGTTGTGTTGGCTGTTGCTATGACAACAGGGGGCCAATTTGTTTTTAGATTTTTCTAATAACTAGGGTGAAGGTGTGAC